AATAAGTAAATGAATGAGGTAAAAGAACAAGTTAGAGCATCAGGCTTTCCATCTTCGTGATCTCTGCAACAGACTAACGATAAACTGTGGCCTGAGAATCTTGCCCATCATTTATCTCTTTGTCTCTCACTGTAGAACTGTTTTACAAAATCATTATTTCTTTAGTGCTAGCTCATTTTTTTTTACTTTTATAATAGATTCTTAACAATATGGGTTATTTTTATATGTAAGGAACAAAGGTTACTGTTTCTAATTCTTGATCCTGTCTATGAAGGAGAGGAAAAAATTCTCTACACTTTTAGGGTCTGTGGCTAGGCCTAAGAATTAGACTGATTAGACAGTTTAACAAGAGAAACATAAATTATTTTTACTTATATGTTGGCGTCTTCCGTAAGAATAATGGAGACCTAAAGAAGTTGTTATATCTGAACTCTTGTATACTAAATGGACAAAGAATAATATATTACAAAAATGTGGCAAAGCAAACTGACTTTCCTTCCGTTACTGAGGAAAAGCTGGGAAGATCTATGTTAGTACAGTTTTCCCTGTAGCAATGACACATCAGTGGTGGTGAGAAAATCACTTTCGTTCTGTTACAGGTAGGGCATCTTCCAGAGCCGTGGTCCACTATCTTTTTGGCATTGGAGATTTGTTTTGTGGAAGACAATTTTAACGTAGGTAGGAGGGGAAGGGAGGTTTGAGGACTCTGTTCTTGGATAAGGCGTGAAACCTGGATCCTCAGGTGCTTGGTTTGACGCTGGCTTTGCCCACTGCAAGTGAGACCTGGTGCCTGGTCAGACAGGAGTGTGGGAGCCTCAGGGCAGTAAATAGAGACACTTTCCTCACCTCCTGCTGTGCGGCCCAGTTCCTTACAGGCCAGGATCTGTGTGGCTTGGATTAGGGATCCCTGTTCTAGAGGTTGTCCCCCTTTGTTTTTATAAAGTAGGTTGGTCAGGTGCCTTATCTGCATCTGCTGTTTTTCCAGTGCCGCCTTCTCAAACTAATTCTCGTGCCTATTGTGACTTGTGCTCCGTTACACATCCTAGGAGATGGTTGCTAACATACTCTGTTAGTCAAGAATACTCATGGATAATGTTGCTCTCTCTAAGCCTGGACTTTCTCAGATTCTTAATACAGTAACAATTGATTAAAGTCATCATCTCTTCCAGAAGTTACTGAGACTATAATACGAGTTTCCTGTGCATACATTGTTCTTACAGGTGCATGCATATACACTATCAGCCTTTTATTGTTTCTGTTACATGTAGAACTTTGAGTTAAAAACTATGTGTGAGATAATCTTAAGAATAATGTCCATGGGAAGGAAGAGGAGCAGAGGACAGATCTGCAGAGGGACAAGCACCTGGGCTTTGTATGTGATTTATAGAAAGGAAAGAGATGTTGGAAGGGTGAAAGAGGAGTCCCTCTGCACTGTATGTCTGGGAGAACAGGAAACATGTTTGCAGGGTCCCGGACACGGGGTGGCACCTGGCTGATGTTGAATAAGCATTTGCTAGTGAGTGGTTCTGAGATGAATGATGAATGATGTTACCGCCAAAGGAAATGGAAAATACAGGTGGAAAAGCTCGTTTGCCAAAACAGAGCTTTAGATCCAACAGGTTGGAGTTGCTGATACACCACCCAGAGCACATGTGTAGCAAGCAATCGGTAGAGCCGATCTACACCGTGTTACAGAAGTTCAGAAACAGGGAAAACAGAGACCGAGGTCAATCTAGGAATGGGAGTGTCTTGTTAGAGGCAGTAGCTGAAAGCATTTGTATAGAGGCATGTTTATGCGGGAGAAGGATAGAGAACTTCCTAGTCCAAACCCCTGGAGACCAGGCAGCCAGGAAGGAAAAGGAGGATCCTTAGAGATAGAGTTTGTCTGCAGCTCACTGGGTTTCCCAGAGGCCAAGAAATGTGGCCTTGAAGAGAAACTCAAGGTTGTGTAATGTGAGCTATTGGTTCTTCCCTGGCTCCTGTCCCTGGCTCCTCCTTCGGATGGTCAGTATTGAATGGAAACATGAGATTGTGGTTTTTAATTAGAACTGGATGTGTAGCATCACAAGCACATAGAATGCAGGATACATTTTCCTCTGAATCCTGCTGTAGATGTTTCTAGATTACCACTTTAAGAGTGAGTCACAGTGATTCATTAGGTAGGTCTTCTGAGCAAAAGATGCATATTTTTGTTATATGTTAATAATTGATGACCAGATGGAAACAGTTTTCTTCTAAGATAATGTTTCTGACTCTGAGCCTTTTATGTGTCACTCTGACATGTTTGTCGTGTTCCTGCATTTGCGCTATTTTACTTAAAGCATGTATGTTACTGACTTACTGTATATTTGGATTCCCTCTTTTCCTGAATTAGATGCTTCCTCTATGTTTCTAAAATACCCATGTATTGGGGCTGGGGATTTAGCTCAGCAGCATAAGTACCTGCCTTGCAAGCAGGCGGTTGTGAGTTTGATCCCCGGTACCGATAAAAATGAAAAAAACAAAATAAATAAAATAAAATACCCATGTGCCCAGTACCTACCTTATCAACGCCACTAAATTGTTTCCCCACTAGTATATGAACTCCAGGATGGTTTATTTGTTATTTCCTGTATATATTTCATGAATTTGCCAAACACAGCTCAAGTAGTGCCTGTAAATATGGTTGTGATGAAAAGAAATGTATTCCTTATCCTCAAAACTGTGGTGTGGCTCAGTGGCACAGTACTTGGCCTAGCACATGCAGGGCCCTGGGCCCCATCACTGGCATATGAAAAGAAGTGGGGAGGAAGAAAAAGCTTTAAATATGTATTTAGTCTTTTGTTGCTTTTGAAATTGTTCCTTGATGCCACATACTGTTAGTTACACGATAACTACACAAAACTCCTAAGCACTTTGGAGAATGAGTCCATGGCACTATGAGAGAGTTAAGAGCCTGACCAAGGGAAAATGCTGTACCCCCACATTAGAACATGTGCTTAGGGGACACAAGGACTTTGGGCAGCGAGCCCAATTCAGCTGGCTGATAGGTATCTTTTTCGAGTTTTCCAGCACCTAATATGTCTTAGATGTCTAAGGGATGGTTAGTGAGTAAACTCTCAGCGGACGATGGTTCATGACTGTTGTAGCTCAAAGAGTTATGAAAAGCATGTTAATTTCTTTTTTGTTCAATATGCTAGTCAGAAATGATGAAGTTATTCCTAAAGTTTAAAGTTGGGGTTTTTTGGTGAGTTTTCTTGTCTTACCACTTTAGTATGTATTTTATTTTAAACAGGATTTCTTTTCCTCTTAAAATTAACAAATGTGACTAGGGGAGTGATTCCGGAATAAATGTGCTTACTGTGATAAGGCCCTGAGTTCCATGATCTGCACCACAAAAAGAAAAAAAGTTAACCTGCCACCCTTATCTGTGCCCCGTGGTCACTGCAGCTCTTAACCATTTCCCCTGACCGAACCTCGAACACAAAATGCAGAATGCTCTTATCTTATTCACATTTTCTTGTGTTGGGAGAGAATTAAATGAATTAGCTACTCCACTTGTAGCTTACTATATTTTTTTCTTCCCTGTAATAAATTGATCACTGACACAGAAATGATGAAATCAGGCCAGTGAGCATCTGACCACTGTTAGCTCTCTGAATTTATAAAAGAAATAAGAAAACCAAAAACCAGCAACAGAAAATGGGGCATGTAATTAGAAAGACACGAGTCCTCACCCCACTCCCAGAAGGACAAAGGCTTGTATAAAGTAAGAGGTGATTCTGTTTGATCTGTTAAAACCAATTATAGGAAAATAGTAATTGTAGCTGGGTGTCATGGCATACACAATTCCAACATTTGGGAGGCTGAAGCAAGATTTTGAGTTTGAGGCCAGCATTCACTACACAGCAAGGCCGTATATCCAAAATTAAAAATAAAAGATTGTATATATTATGAACTTTTACCCTGAGTGCTTTCTTAATGTTTTGTTTTTGGAGACAAGGTCTTGCTATGTAGTTTAGGCTGATCTTGGACTTGTGGCAAATCCTCTTTCCTCAGCCTCCTAAGTGCTGGGATTACAGGTGTGTGACACCACACCCCTGGCTTTACCTGAATGTTAATCTTAGAAAAAGTGATGCAAAGGAATTGTGATACTAATTATGCATTTATGGTATATATGTTGTCATTTGTAGTCTGGGAATTCTATAGATTTTGGTATTTGATGAAGTGATCTGTTCCTGGTGTGAGTTGAGTGAAGAACTTATTAGTAAACAGATGGTACAGCAGTGCAAGAAAACTGCATAATGTGGCCGGCAACCACATTTGTTTATCCCCATGCCCTCTTTGGTTGGATTTATGATGAGGAGCCGGTGCCTGGTACCAGGCCTAGAACCGGATTAGCCTTTTTACCCAGCCCGCTCACTCAGCCTCCCCAAGCCGTCACACACCTAGGACATGAGTACACACTCCAGATGGCATAAAATTTAATTTAAACTCAAATGAGGTCAAGTAGTTCTGTTAAATGGCAAGTGCTGAGTCAATGCTATACTGTATTGTTGTTCTCTTGTCCTGTTGTTCTACTGGCTTTTCTGTTGCTTAACTGAGTAATTCCAAATTCTGGTCTGTTAACACACTGTTAGAAGACCAGTATTTTGGCAAACTATGTATTTCTAGGATTTAGTTTCAAATTTAGTGCCCCCCCCCTTTAGCAGATTATTGTCGTAGTATCTCTAATAGGCTTTGGAATGTTGTAGCCTTTTATAGATTTCTAGTTGTGAATCAATGGCACGTTGAAGATGATCTAAAACTAGAATGACTTATGTTTGGAAGTAGAATTTCCATGGGATATGGAGCAGATGTGTAAGATAAATGAAGATCCATAGGTTAAGGTGGAATTCAAATATGACAAAATCCTTTATCATAGTGGTTAATGCTGAAGGTTTTTGTACCCAGGATACCAGGATCTTTACTTCTAGAAAACAAAATGTCAGTGAAATGTTGAATTCTGTTCTTTTTTACAGTGCCTCCAAAGCCATTACGTCTGCAGAATTCACCTTCGTCCAATATACACCAAACCCCCAGGCAGAAAGCTTTATCTAGAGCAAAACCCAGGATGGAGGAAGTTAAACCTGCCTCTGCTTCTTGTGTCTCAAAAGAAAAACCCAATAAGGTATCAGACCTCATCAGTCGCTTTGAAGGAGGCAGGTAAGAGTTAATTTATAACGGGCATAGGCAGAGGGAGGAAGAGGCTGATTCTTGACAGACTGGTAGCCGTACAGCCGTAGATTATCTGAATCAAACAACAGCATGCTTGATTGCACTAGATTCTGTAGGCTCTGGGCAAGTACATCTTAAATTACAGACTCTTGCCCTCGTACGACCTGTCACTTACAGTATGTGACCAATGTGCAGTACCTCAGGCCACCAGCATGCTTTTGAAATTATGTGCTTTTGCGTATATGTGTGCGTTCTGGTTTCCTCCATGTCTGTCACCCCTTGTAGGCCATTATGTCCGTCACTCTCTTGGTTGGGAAGACCAAGAGGTTGTCTTGTTTTTTTGTTCACTTTGTGTGTTTGTAAATGTAACTCCTGTGGGCTTGTCTTGGGGCTTTACTTAATATAAATTTTCTATCCCCATTCAATCCATCTCTGCTCCTTTTGTATATTTTACAAATGAGACCCTCAAACACTGTGTATTCTCATACTCTATTGCTAGAGTTCCCATCTTGACTTAAATAGAGTTTCATTAAAAAGTTTATCAGAAGGATTTTTCTTTCCCTGTCACCAGAAGTGTGTATGTAATGGAACAGAACATATATAACTTAATTTTTTCCCTTAATACCAAGTATTTCCATTCATTCCAGCATGGTATTTGGAATGATTTCTCATTAGGTAGTCTTTTTTATTTGCAGAATTCACTATTATTAATAAACTCACAGCTTGGAAATACTTTTGGATGATTCTGGAAATTGTGACCAAGCACAATACTGTAGTTTCACTCATTTAAAATAAGATTATATTTAGTTACAAAATCTGGAGAAAGGTCATTTAGAAGCCTGGCTTCATTTTTCATTCCTGACAATTTGGAGAACTTTCATCATACATCTTTAAACTTCAGCATCTCCTGTTGTAAAGTAGGGTTTATAATATCTTTGCTAGCTAGACTAGCAAATAAGATAGCAATCTTTATGAAGTTTAATTCCTTTTTTTGGCCAAGGTAAGTTGATTCAATAACAACAACAACAATAACAGATTTGATCTCTCCTGTCTGCAGATTCTCGCAGCCAGTCTCAGGGTCTACATGATAGGAGAAGGGTGCCCTTAGTGTTCCCTGGTACCCACATCTTGGGGTGGGGTCTGTAAGTGATGAGACCTGTATCCCTCACCATCTTGGAAGCCTACACTTTGCATTATTGTGGATTCTTTTCTACATGTGAGATAAGGCAGTTTTTCCACTTAATACCATCCATTTTCTTTTAGTCTTTCAAGTCACACAGATTCATTTTTCCATGCAGAGCTTGAAGGGTGGCACTCGGGGGTGATGTGCTATAATCTCTGACATTTTTTCAGCAGTCTGTTCTGAGGGCACAGGGTGCCATGTGTTCTGGCAAGTCCTCAGAGAGACCTGCCTTGGGGGTGGGTGCACTGCTCATACCGCTGTGGAGCAGCTGCTTCGCAGCACTGAGCATCCCTTCCGCCATGTGTCAGAGAGGGCTAACACTGCATCGGCTTTGTAGGATTTTAATGGTTTTTTTTTTGGCTGTTGAGAGTGATGTTCTTGTGCCTACAGGGTAATTTTCCAATTGAATTCCAGTTATTACTTCCTAGAGTAGCACCTTGTGGAATGACTGGTCTCTGGGTCAGCACAGGGAATGGACAGGAAGAACCAGCATCTGCTAGGGTGAAGGCCAGTCAGGACGGTCTGAGAGGGCCATGTCCCACTATGGCCAGGGCCTCCCTGAGCCATCACTCAAGTAACTCCATTCACTAAGAACAACAGTTAAAGCAAATAGTTATTTTTTTACTGTAGTTTCCTGCTATCCTGTCCTTCTGCTTTCTACCAGGATAAGAGAACACTCTTTTATGAAAGTGTTGGGGTTTTAGAAATAGCTTTTCCCTGTAGACACGGACATCTGTGCTCCCCAAGGCTTTGCAAAGCCAGCTGTCTCCCCACCCCTTTTCCAGTCCACAAGGCAGCAGAAACCATGTAATTTGGTGGTCCACTACTGCTTTCACTGACCTCCCACCCGCATGTACACCCTCGCTGTCACTTAGAGTGGGACATTTCTAGCTGCCATCCAAAACAGTCCTGAAAAGACCTGAGTGTGCGTCAGCATAGCAAGGACCCTTGGAGGTTTTCCTGCCAGGGCATCTGACCCTGATGTGGGCATGAAAGAAGGACGCTTAATTCAGATCCCCACGGACTGCTGAGAAATGGGGGCACATCTGTTTAGATGGGCCTCCTCCAACATTTTCCCATGTAACTACTAAATTTTTCCATCCCTTGTGTGGTGGTGGACCTCACCCACATCTTTTTACTCCTTTCTCGTTGCCTGTTTAGTTCCTGGTTTACAGTCTCCAGTCCAAGCAGCACTAGCTGGGCTGGGTAGGGCAGGTTTAGAAAGCTGTCCGGTGCATCTTAGTTTTGTCTGTGGGACTTGCTCCTCCTCTGCCGCTTCTCACTCACCCTTTCCCTGCCACCTCTCTCCCTTCCCTGGGGAGCAGGGAGAGACCAGCCTGGACTTAGTGTCTACAATTTATTAACCCATTTTCTCCTCATCGCATCCTAAATGTTGCAGTGTCTTAAGAGCTAGGGTTAGACCATGAGAATGTTGGCTACACAGCATCATATTTTAAGCCTGAATTTCTCTATTTATGGGTCCTTGCTTTTAGATTTATGAAGAAGAGGCACAACCCATTTAAAGAGCTTATTTTGGTTTGTGGCCTAGTAAACAATAAATGTTACATGCTATTGTACTGGTCGTGGTGATAGTTACTGCTCAACTGTCAGATACTTAACCCAGCGCTCAGTACACATCTCACACTAGGCTAAGAGGCAGGAATAAGGCAGACAGCCGGGCACCACAGCATGCATCTTCACAGGCATTTGATCTGTTTTTATTTGTTCTCATTTGGGTCATTGGGATCTCTCAGCATACAGCCTGGGGTCCCCTCCCCCACCCTGGTATCCCTGGTGAAAATGCTACCCTAATGTTTCCATAGGAAAACTGCTGGGTTAGAATAGGTTCCGTGGTCTCCTTAGTGCTTTAGGACTCGGTCCAGCGTGCAGGACGGTAAAGAAAGCAGCATGTGATGTGGAGATGGTGAGGGGCTGTGCTTACTTAGCCTGAACCTGAAAAGGCAGACACTGGAAAGGCCTACCGACTCCTGGAGACTTTCTCGGGGAGAAAACCTTGCACAGACCCTAACATGTGCTCTCCTGCTTGAGCTCGAGGAGGACCCAGGGCTATAGCCAGTCAGAATGTGACTCGTGGACAGAAAGCCTTTCAGGTGTCACTGGGGCCTCAGTTTACCTGTCAATGTGCAAGGAGGCCACTGCGTTTGTTCTTGTGGACTAGACTAGAAGGGATCAGGGAAGTATGTTCTGTTCTATGCCAGAACGAACTTGGCAGAGCCAGTTCAGAAACCGGGCCCTTGCGGTGCTGCTTCTTAAACGTGTAGGGTAAAATGATTCTGTTAAACGAAAGAGCTTCTCATCCAAGCTTCTGCTAACTAGTTTCCAAAGAATGCTCCGAGGAGGCGTCGGCACTGTACTTATTGGCACTGTGTGTAACCTGGCCAGCACCCCGCAAGCCAGGTTTCTGGTGCACTCCGCCTCAGGAGGAGCCCCTCACTGGGATGCACTCGTCCTCGGGCGTCTTCCCCACGTGGTTTTCACGTGTCCTTCGTCTCACTTTGCAGCGCGCTGTCGAGTTATCACGATCTGAAGCGAGACTCTGCTGTGAACCTGCACACCCCGCGCACCCCCGGCCGGCAGGGGCCGCCACCCGCGCCTCCCCAGAAAGCAACGTCCTCGCAGCCTGGAGCCGAGCCGGCGCACACGCGGGGCCCGCAGACACGCGTGGCCAATGGCGTGATGGCACCACAGAGTGCGGCCACCGCCATAGACAACCCTGAGCCTCCGGGACCGCAGCAGACTGCAGACCCTGTTCCCGGCTCGAAGGCTGTGAACGGAGAACCAGAGGGGGCTGAATCTCCCGCCACTGGTGCCGAGCAAGACGGCGACGCTGCTGCCCACCAAGACGGCGATGCTGCTGCTCACCACGACAGCGATGCCCCCGATGGCAGCTGCAGGACTCCGGGTGCTGACCCTGAGCGCCCCGCAAGAGGAGGAGAGGCCCAGACGGAGGCTGGGCTCCAGGACAGGGAGAATGGGGAGAGCCCCATGGAGCTGGAGCAGCACCCGGAGCAGCAGCCTGAGATGAAGGTGAGGCCCACGGTGGCTCGTGGGAAGTGTGCTTCAGGCCACTCCGGCGCCTTAACCTTCCTCGAGCTCTGGGTGCCAATGGGTGTCACTGCAATAGTTAGCTTTTCGTGTAATTAATTTCTGTTCATCTCTCTCTTGCGATTTCAAGATTGAGAACGGTGTGAACATTGGTACAGGAAAACCACAGCCATGCTGTCTTTATTTATTCAGGGTTTTTTGTTGTTGTTTTTGTTTTTTGAGATAGGGGCTTGCTGGATAATCCAGGCTGGCCTTAAACTCGTAGCAATCCTCCTGCATCAGCCATTCCAGTACTGGAATTACAGGCATGTACCACCAAACCAGGCAAATTGTCTTTTTGCTATGTGAAAGTGTTGCAGTCTAGATGTTGGTGCTGTAGCTTTAATATTTATGGGCTTAACAAGAGGAAATTGTGTAATCTTTGTTTTTGCAAAGTTTCTAATCTAGTGAAATAGTAGACTTTGGAAGTTGAATTTGCCCCTGGCAGATGATGCTTTTAAGGTCACAGATAGAGAAGAATTAAGGAATTATTCAACGGATTGTTTATAATGCTTTTGAGGCTTCTCAGTTTTTTTAAACTTTCCAGTACCCAATTTTATAATATATGGCTTCATTTTGGAGTCAACAGGTCATGTAAATATCATCTCATTTAAGCAATTCTTTTATAGAAGAAATCGTCCCAGAAAGCTGAAGTGGTTTGCCAAGGTCACTCTGCTGTGTGTAATTAGTAAGTGACACAAACCCTTTAGGTTATGAGTCCAGGTCAGTGTTGGGTGCCTGGTACAACACATCAAAAACCTAAAAGATGAAATACAGGAAATACCAAAAGCACCACAATCACGGGTAACATTTGAGAGAGAGAGCAGTGGGACTGATGTGAACTTGAAGTCCATATCCTTCTGAGCAGTGTGGTACTATAGTTTTTGTTTTGTTTTTTGAGTCAGGGACTCACTATGTAGTTCAGGCTGGCCTTGAACTCATGATGATCCTCCTGCCTCAGCCTCCCAAGTGCTGGGATCATAGGCATGCTAACAAAGAGCCGGTAGGTGAAGTATGTTTATAATTTTCTTGTATTCAGGTAAATTAAGAAGTTTCATTTTCCTAAATTTTATTAGGTGTTTTGAAAAAGTTGGACCAGATCAGTAGAGCCAGGATGCTAATTCCGGCAGTAACTAGTAGAAACTTTGATGTAACTCCAGTAATAGGCTGTTGCCAGTTTATTCTTTATTCATGTCAGCACACTAGGAATGTTAAGAACTGTGCCTTATGCATGGTACTTGGGAATCCTGCGGTTCAGAGGTCCAGTATTGGTATACTAAATTACCCTAGAATTGGCAAATTGTTTATATCTCTGAAGACAAGGTTTCCATTGCTTAGTCTGATCATACTAAATAATGATGTGAGAGTTCAAAATTATAAATTTGATAATTAGAGGAAAATTTGTAAATAGCAAGTCCCAGTCTTAAATTTATTTAGCAAGCTCTGCCTCACTGAACATTAACATAGGCAGAATAGTAAAAGGACTGAATCTAAAATATTAGGAACCAGTGACTCATTTCTGGCAGCTAGAGAGTTAATTCTAAATCCTAACTCTTGAGCAGCGAAAGTTTAAATAAGGAAGTGAGTGAAGAAAGTGACTCATTCTGGGTGACATTATCTAAGGCAGTCAAGAAACAGGGTTGCAGAGTGACTCTAGATCTTAATGTGGTGGTAGATTTTAGGGTCTTTGTGCTTGAACCAGGAGGTAGGGAAGAGACTATCAGAACCAAGAAACCTTTTATAATGGGAATGAAGCCCCCAGCAAGTGTTTATAAAACAGTAAGAGCTGTTCTTATTAAGGGAAGAGTTTTAACTGGTACTGATGATTGTGTTTGCTGGGTGTTATTTTTCCTGTTGAGTGTTTATTATATAGACATGTTTGTAGATGAAGCATATTTGCTTTGGAAGAGATTCAATAGGATTTTATTGTTAGTTAGCAAAATGGTAGTCTAGCTAGCTTTTATCCTAATTGGGCTTTTAAGCAGTAGATAGCACAAGCTGTTTCTGGGAAGGAAAAGGAAATTTTCGCTGCGGAGTTGTGATCCAAACACCATGTCTCTTCCCATCCAAAAACACGAGACTTCACGCCTGCATGGTGAGGATATGTTCTTTCTGCTGCCCCAGGGCTGCTGTATTATGTTTCCTGGTTCCAGAATGCTCTTGGACAGGTCTATGGTGGCAAGAGGGTAAATTTTTTTTTTAAGTATCTTTTGCCGTAATTAAAAGGAAAAAAGAAAAATAAAAAAATTTTAGTATATTTTTGGCCAAACAGTTGGGATCAGGAAAATCTCTGTGTGGCTTCTGACTTGTGCCCCTGGTAGTAGTATGACCTTGGACAAGTCAGGACGACTGTGCAGGTACAGGCCATGTACGTGGTCAGATGCCAAGGTTTTGTCAGTGGTGATTGTGATTCTACACTGCTGTGTGTGTGGCTGTGTTACCTTATGGGGTGATCCTCCAGGTAGTCGACTGTTTCTTAAACCAATGTGAATTTTTAAGACATAATGGAATATTTTGAGTTTCACTGTATAAAACAACTGAGAAAAATTACTGCTGTTTTTGGGAAATTGGGTATAGAGATTTATATCAAAATTATCCTAATTTTATTTAAACCAGTATTAAACTTAATGAACATTTTCCTGGTACCCACCAAGAAAGAGAAGTGAGAAAACCAGGCGATGAAGGATGGAAGAAGAATGGCAGATGGGGCTCAGGAATAGATGGCTATTGTAATATATCATGAACAGTCGTTAATAATTGAGGACTGACTTACAAGAGTTGAGTTGTGTATCCTTGATTTTTCTGAGATATTTTGATCCGGATCACTTTCATTGGCAAGTATGGAAGTCTCTTTGTTTTACCATGTAAAAGATAAAGAATTCCTAATTGGATTTCTGCCCTCTATCATACTGTAGAAAAGCTGCTCTTTCCCAGTGATTGCATTTTGTTTGTCTGTTTGGTCAGCACCGAGGACTGACCCTAGTCACTGCTAGCCCTTTTCTTTTGTTTTGTTTTACATTACCACAACAACTGCTAAATTTCCTCTGATAGGCTTAAATTTACAATCCTACTGCCTTAGCCTCTTGAGTAGCTGGGATTACAGACTGATTAAACATCCTGTTGTACCAGTGATCTAGATACAACCAGACATCTAAAGTGAGCACATAGGTATTTTTTTAACCTCCAAACTAAAAGAATATTGTGAGTACTTTGTGATACCATTATCTGTCACCCTCCAGGCAGGTAAAAGTCTACTAAAGGGGAAAAATTGTTGAAAAGGAACACACTGAAGCTCCTAAATTATAGGAAGAAAAAGGCAAAATATATTGCAGGACACACCTGTATCTACTCAGACATGAGTGCCTGAGGATGTGGCAGGGCCAGGCCACAGGATTAAAGTTCTTGTCTGGTGTGCCAAATTTGAATTATAAGTAGCTTTAACTATAGTAAGTGTATTCTTATGAGACTCAGATAAATTCTTCAGTGTATTTTCGGATGCATTTTATTAAAAATTATTATCCTTTCTCAAGTCTATATACTAAAATGAGTAAGCTTTTGTCTAAAAACCCACTAATGGTACATATATACGTATGAAAACTGATCTTTATGCTTCATAAGCCTTTGAATATTCAGGGTGTGCTACAGGTTCTGTTACTATATTTGTTTCTCTAATATACCTTTGTAATATATATATATATATATCTTAGATTTATATTCAGCTTTATACAGCAATTAAATATAAATGTGTAGAGTTCTCCTTTTAGGACTAAAGTTTATATCAGATCTGCGTTACAGCATAAGTTCAAGTTACTAACACATAAAACCTCTAATGATAAGTTATCAGGAATGTAAGAGAGGCAGATCCTTTTTTGACCAAAAATGACAAGAATTATATAATAAATGAATAATACATGAAGAAGGAAGTATACATGGAGTTGAGGCCTATGGACACATATTATGTTTAATAGCTTAGTTCTTTTTCTGGTTCTTTCTGATAGTTAGTTTTACTTACTGTATTCATACAAGCCAGCTGTTAAACATACTGAAGTAAGAATTAAGATAATCCTCTTTCATAAGGAGGCAAATGATTGAGTCCCCTCCAGTGGTACATTGGGGGTTTAAAACCATTGACCAGTTGGACACTGGTTTGAATCAGTTCTCTAGGGAGTGAGGGAGGCAAGCAGCTGAGAAGTGGAGAGTGGACCTGGAAAGAGTGGGAGACGGGGGTGGGGGGGTCGGGAGGAGCTGAGGATGGAGGACATAAGAGCTGGGAATAGAAGAGGGGGGAGCGCTCTGACCCTATAATGATACCAGAAAGGCTAGCAAAATGAGCATGGGGTGACCAGAGGGCAATTACATTGGCTGTGTATACCTTGTAAGAAGTGCTATTTTCTCCTCTGAAATCAATATTTTTGAAAGGCATTTTTGTAAAAACTAGTAAGTTAATATACATGGAAAAACAATGAAATATAGCAAAGCATAGAAAACATAAAAACCATTCATAAACCTCCTCCCCAGGGAGAGCTGCTTAGATGTCTAATATTCCACCTTGTTTTTCAGAGCTAATGTTTGAAAAAGCGTGGTCAGCAGCATAATATATGTTCATGGTGTATCCTGTTTTGTTGGATTAGACATAGATGTTTTCCTATATGAATTCAGACTTTCCATAGCTGAATACTATCTGGCCACAGAGAGTTCAGTAAAGCGTGGAGGTGACAACAATGACACATCTGTGGGCTTTTGAAATCTGAGTCAGACGAAGAGGAAAACAGAGAGGAGGCCAGGAAGCAGTTGCTGCAGCCCAGGTGTGACAAAGCTGCAGGCACAGAAGAGTGACTTCTGGAGACTGGGCTATAGGCATGAGTCATGCTCAAGTCCTACCTTGGCTGACACAGCCCACAGGGTGCCATGGACTGAAATATAGGAGGTTGGAAGTTGACCCA